CATTCTGAGGCCGCATATCAGCTGGACCAGCAGACGCTCTGAATGCTGTGGCAAAGGACTGTATGATAGGCTGGAGGGCATAGTGGGGCCAAATATCATTGGCGTAGTTGTTGGGTGCCGCATCAGTGTTCTGCTCAGGCCACAGATTTCCAATATAATGTCCTTCCGGTCCATCATTCTGTGCTTGTCAGTGATTCACCTCCTGTAGATCTGTAAAGCCTCGGGAAAGCAACTTACCCAGGTAATATATTCCACAAACTCGAGCGCATCGCTCTCGATTTCCAAAATATCGTGAAGCCGTTGCATGAAATTTGTCTCTCCTTGGCGATAAACATTGGTCGAGTACTGGAATGCAGTCAGTAAGGTACTTAGTGACCAGGGAAGAGAGAGATGTTCACCGAGTTCTTATACTGCATCAAGCTCAGGGCTAGAAGTCCATGGTTAGCGACTGGAAGCCTCAACCAACGAAAGCGAGGAGAGACCCACGAATCATGTAGGAGGCACCCTCATTCTCAGCCGCATCAATAATCACCTGGTCGCGAGCCACTCCTCCAATGCCTCCGCTCTGGTCGGCGGCGTCTTGTCCCAACGCTGGCCATGCGGATTCCCAGCTAAAAAGCCCGTCGGTGAGGTTTCCCCAGTAATACCACCAGCCAGCGTCACTCGTCCAATAACCCTCTGTGTCGCCGAGATCGGGAATCCAATATACATCATACTTGTCATTACCCTTCACGGCATCTTTGAAGGCCTTCCAATTGCTCCAAGTTCCTCCACCGGAGCTATAAGTACTCACCATGTATTTGTCACCCACCGTGTAATATGCCTCAAAACCCATAGCATTGCGACACAGACTGACATAGCCTTCGGGGCCCTGACCACAGGAGGGCCCCCCAGATGCGTACACATCCATGCTGATGAAGATACTGAAGTTGTAGTTCTGATTATAGATATAGTGGCTCATCTCTTCAACAAGACTACCAACCCAATTATCCGTTGGGCATTGGACGTTGAGAGCAAATCCATCAAGACCCATAGCAACGGCATCGTCCACATCCTGATGGATATGATCAGTTGTGATATTGCCGACCTAGAACTGTGAGTCTTCTGCTTTGATTGTGTCGATTTGTGATATGGTTTTGCTCACCATGTAGTGGGCAAAGACTGCACGGCCAGCAGCCGTCTTTATATGTGCTGACATTGCCATTAGGCAAAGTAGCCATTCGAAGATTGCCATTTCTGCCCTTCTTCTGACCCGGAGGCACAGCATATTCAAGCTGCTTGTTCTTGGTCGCGGAAAGAGCTACTATAGCTTGGGGTAAAGGAGGAGGAGGAAGTTGAGACAGACTCGTTAAGAGGCTGATGTTGCAGGTCTGATACCTGTAGAAAATAGGGCCTTCCATGCTTTTATATCCATTGCAATTGAGCGACGCTTCAGTATGCTGCCACTTTCGAGACTGGAGCACTACTAGTCCATTTGGAGAAGAAGTTGGCGATATACGAAGCTCAGTCAAGATGGAGATGAAAGTCCGGTATAGACTGTTTGCAGCGGACCTGACTAGGCCTATTTGGGGCGGCACTTGTTGCCTTAGTGCTGGAACTAGAAGAGCGTTCATCCTAGCTTCCGTGAAGGCTTTGCTAGTTGATCACTTCATTCTGGGGGTAAGGGGGTTAGGACGAGATTTCTAAGCGGTCCTCTTTGGAGATAAAGTATCTCATTTGGAGCAAATCAATAGTGTTCTAGTTGTTACAAATGTTAGTATGGGAAATAATCCCATTGGTAGGGTCCTGCTGACTGACTGCTAACCACACGTGGAATATACAACGTTCCGATATCAATCTAGATCACTCTTCCACGTAGACCCTTTTCTAAGCAACGTCCTGAAAGAAATCAAAGCTAGATGAATACAAACTGCAAAAGGTTCTACTAAAAGACATTCTAATGACACGAATCAAGTCATCACTACGTGATTCCGTCTACCCTCAAGACTCACGATTATGAAGGATTTTTATCGTTGGCTCCAATCTTCGTAGAAAGGGGACAAGTCGTAAGTACTCAGCTATTGTGGATCAGGCTTATTTCAGGGACCAAGAGGGCATGAGCCCACAGGGTGAGCTCGCCCCCCGGCTAGCCTACTACCGAGTGCAGACCCTCGGCCTCGAGGGGCTATTTCAATTTCTTCTCAAGACTCTCGCGGTAGCCTACTACAAAGTGACTAGTGCCAATTGACCAGCAGATACTTGAGGCCCTGCAGTGGTTCGGTTGTGATAGCTAGGTGGTGGGTCGTGGCGTCCTGCCTCGGAGATGAGGTTGAGACCCACCGCGGTCTGCGGAGTGCAGACCCTTTTCCCCTGAGCCTCAACTGAGGGCTGATCTGATTAAGTCTAGGTGGTGGCCTTCTCACCCGACGGCCAGTTACTACTAGGTGGTAGGTAGCGTACGACTGTGATGATAGGACTTTGCGCTTGTAGGACTGGGACCTGAGGACGAGCGCGCTGCTGCAGAGCCTCGAGGACACGGTGCACGGCTGCTGATGTTTGGCTTCTGGGGGTACACATTGCTTCTCTGGTATACTAAGCTGTGGCATCTTTGACACATTGTCAGTCCTTCAGGATACGGTCAAAAATGTCAACTCTCGGAGAAAACTTATTGAATCCGGAATTTACCGCGACGAGGCAAGCACATTGCATTCACGTAGGGAGCAGAAGCAGCAACTATGCTAGCACTCACGCGCACGGAGAAAGCTAGAGCGTGGCGTAGGAAGTCAAGTGCGTAGTCTAGGCTTTCTCCATTGGAACTTGAGAGATGAATTGGAAAAGCATGATGATAGATATCAGTCCGAGACTGACATGCCTTTCGGCGAACAACAACAACTTCAACAAGATATTGCGGCGAGCGTATGAGGGTGTTATAGCATGGCAACATTGGATACCGAAAATAGCTCGGGAGGAAAAGGAATCCCGATCAGGTGAGTCGACGGCCAACAACCTCCAGCTCATATACCGTAAGAGATGTTGTCGCATACATGCACCGCTGCTTCAATAAGCTATCGCATCAGCCATCATGGATGGATGGAACAGCACCTGACCTGGCAGGTGAGCCGAGTGGCCGGAAATGGCAACTCGGAAGGCGGTAACAGAAATTGCCGGCAGGGATGGAGGTTGAACCCCCTCCGAGTGATGGATGAGCTGGAGCTGGCGCTTGAATGCACAGGGTCTAGGCTACCGGTATGCTTTTTTCACCTGGAAAGAACTCCTTGTTCACGTGGAAGGTCTGATTCTTATGCATCGACCTTACGGAGTTACGGTGGACATGCAATGATTCTCACTTTCCGAGCGTTGGTCAGAACTGAATAGGAAAGAATCGTCCGATTTAGGACGGTGTACGCGCCCCCGCACTATTCCTGGGATTGCCGCTGCATCGATCTGACAGCGGAACTTTGGAACTATCAATCTTCTGCCGCCCTTCCATTTTTTTCAGAGTCCCATGATCGGGTTTCTCCTGCAGGGGAGGGGCTGAAATGTTGGGATGTTGATGTGGTTACTACATGAGTACTTGTAAAGATCATATGCATACCAGTTGTCAGCAAGATTGTCTCAACTGGCAACAGGTTGCAGAATTATGTGCTGGATCTGATGTGTTTGTGGATCTCGAAAATATTTGTTGGACAACCTGACTTGGCTCCCTGGTATGGGATTACGAAGCTCGTATATTCATTTATCTGAGCAGTGCTAGATTGAGATAGCTAGGCAAGCTTGACGTGCTTTGCGATGCATTGTGACTCGAATGAACGATTGGAGCACAACAAACCTGTATCAACTTGCCACGCCATTGCAAGATACGGTTTCGGAGTACTTAGTAGATGCCTCCGAAACCAGAAGGATTACGCACCGGTGACATCGATTGGAATAAGCCACCAAATGGATTCGCCTTACGATTAGCCGGTTGTTGAGTCGGTCATGGAATCTCCTGTGCAGTACTCATGATACTTACTGTACAGTCAACATGTTAATGCTTCCACTGACTTGCGCATTTGCTGCTCTGCAAGTCCGAACAACTCTGTAGAATCTGCATCCAGACTCGGGTCGACTGTGGAGGCATGTCGCGGGCAAGATTAGCGGGAGGACCGCGGAATTCCCGCAAAGGGTAAGCCGAAGCGCTTGTCAAGGTTCCAGACCCATGGGGTAAGGTTGGCGGGGCTGGTTCAAGGGGAAATCAACTCCCAATTGCCAGATCCAGAACCCCAGCATACGATCCATTGAACACACAGGTCAAGTCATGCGAAACCATTTGTTCATGTGAGCAGCAAAAATTGATTGTCCACGGAAGGGGGACGACAATTGAGAACATTGAATGGACAGAGTGGGCAAATCGAACTATTGGGGAAACAGGTTACTGCGTCTACTCCCCCTACTCCTCATACCACCACTTCTTACGCCATGTTGAAGTCGTGGCTTGCTCGTTCTCATTCTCTTCGCGACTGGTATTTAGCCCAGCTGTTGCGCCCTCATCCTTGGTCCTATTCCTGGTCTAATCCCTTTTCTTTTGGTTGATTCTCGTGTGATTGTCACTTGGTTGGTGTCTTCCGTTGGCCCAGGTTATCCTCCGTCCTCAATCGCCCACCAATTGATCCCTGAACTGTCCATTCATCGACAGTTCTTCCTTCCCGCTTCTTGTCAAGTAATTGCGACGGGTGAGTGCTGCTGAGCAAGGATCCTTCTCCATTCTCCTTAACATCGCAATGGTTTCTCTTTCCCCAGGCTGACAGCTGTCAAACCCAGAAGCACCGGGTCCCCCACTTCCCCGCCTCATCCGGCTTGCGTTCCGATCCCAACCATTGCGCCTCGACCAGGATCGCTGTCGTCGTATTGCCGCACAATCGTGACGCTCCATCTTGTGAAACTTTCAGTTCGGAAGCAAGACATCAAGTGATCATTGCAAAGAGTTGCGAGTCCCCGAGACAGGCTATATATACCAAAAAGACCGTGCGCAGGTTCAACCACCCCCACAAACTCTATACATCGACCGGTTCCACTCGCGAAACATTTCGTCTCCATACGCAGCTTAACGTCATACTTAACCGGAGATCGTCCATCAGACCTTCCACAAAATGCAAAGTAGGTTTCACGCCCTCGTACGATCTTACATAGTCCTGTGGAAATTCGGTAGCCTGGCTGGTTTGCTAGCAGCCCCATGCAGGCCCGAAACCTGTTCCATGGTCATTCAAAAAGTCTACACTAGATTGTTCCATCCACTAACGCCGGCCCTTAGCCAAACACTTCTTCTCGGATCCCACCCATTTGGTCCAGACCGCTCTGCATTCCCTCACCCTCACAAACCCATCGGTAGCATTCGATCCTGAGAACAAAATTATCTTCCGTCGCCCCAATGTGAATTCAAAGCCCAAGGTCGCCATTATATCGGGTGGTGGTTCGGGCCATGAGCCTGCGTTTGCAGGCTTCGTCGGGAAGGGTTTCCTCGATGCTTCCGCGGCCGGTACGATCTTCGCTTCGCCTTCGGCGGAGCAGATTCGCAAAGCCGTCATGGAATGCGTCAACAGCGACCAGGGTGTGCTCATCATTCCCATGAACTACACGGGCGACGTGCTCAACTTCGGTATGGCCACGGAGAAGTCGCGGGCTGCTGGCATCAAGACTGAGTTCTTTGCTATCAATGACGATGTCGGCGTTGGCAAGAAGAAGGGCGGCAAGGTCGGTCGTCGTGGGATTGGCGGTGGTGTTCTCATTCTCAAGGCCGTCGGTGCTTTGGCTGAAGCAGGGCTAGTTTTACTCCTTCAATGAGACAGACTAGTGCGCAGCGGAACTAACTTCAGCATAGTGGCTCACTGGAAGAGGTGTATCACCTGGCACAGCTAGCGAACAATAACCTCGTGTCGGTAGGGTCTTCGCTCGAGCACGTTCATGTTCCTGGCCGGGGCGTTCCCGAAGACACAATCCCGGAAGGCGAAGTCGAGGTCGGAATGGGCATTCACAATGAGCCGGGATCCCACCGGGTGAAGGCGAATCTGGTTGAGCTAGTGGCCAACATGCTTCTCCAGCTTCTGGACCACAATGATCCTGACCGCGCCTGGGTCACCCGGAAGCCCGAGGATGACTTTGTGTTGTTAATCAACAACTTGGGTGGCGTCAGCACATTGGAACTTTCCGGCATCACGGACGAGGTCTATCGTCAACTCGACAGAGATTATGACGTCCAGCCGATCCGAGTCATCCAAGGGACCTTCCTCACAAGCCTCAACGGGTTGGGCTTCAGCATCTCCCTGCTGAAGCTGGTAGATACGGGACTGGGCCCTGGCCGATCCTTCCTAGACCTCCTCGATGCGCCTGCGGAGGCTGTCGGCTGGTCGGCCCCCATCAGCCGGGAGACATGGAAGCATCGCACCGACGCTCCTGTGGAGATTAAGAGGACTGCGTTGCCGGAGGACAACCCCAGCAACGTGAAGTGTAAGTAGCCCAGCAGATTCCCTATTCCCTGCACCGTCCTAAACATCCCTAACACCCGACAGTGGACATCAACATCCTGAAGAAGGTCCTCAGCAGCGCTCTCGAGCGCGTCATTGCCGCCGAGCCCGAAACCACGCGCTTCGACACCATCGTCGGCGACGGCGACTGCGGAGTCGGCCTGAAGCGAGGCGCCGAGGCCGTGACGGCTCTCCTGGAGAGCTCCTCGTCCAACCTGACCGACGACGTGGTCCACGCCGTCAACCGCATCGTCAGCGTCGTCGAGAACACGATGGACGGCACCTCTGGCGCCATCTACGCCATCTTTCTGAATGCGCTCGCTCACGGCCTCCGCGAACAAGACCAGGGCACCGCCACCCCGGCGACGGTGGACGTGTGGGCCGCAGCATTGAATTACTCGCTCTCCGCGCTCTCGAAGTACACCCCAGCGCAACCGGGCGACCGCACCCTCCTCGACGCCCTGGTGCCCTTCTGCAAGACCCTCCAGGAGAGCAAGGATGTCCACGCCGCGGCCAAGGCGGCGCAGGAGGGAACCGACTCCACCAAGCACATGAAGGCCAGCCTGGGACGCAGCGTGTACGTCGGCGGCGAGGATGAGTGGGTGGGCAAGATCCCGGACCCGGGTGCTTACGGGCTCAGCGAGTTCTTAAATGGATTGGCGGGGGCCCTTTGAGTCGAATTGCTAGGGTTGGGCCAGAGATTCTTGGGGTTTCATCGTACATATACTTTGGAGCGTTCGATGTCTTAATTCTTAATATCAATAATGACCATGCTACGAGGTTGGTGTTCTATAAGTGTAGTCTAATCCCGGCGTCTGGACGAAAACACAACAGTTTCTGTCGGCTAGGCTTCGCGTGACAGTAAGTGTTGAGGGCCTTTGCTAAACCTCACATACTTCGGAATTGCATCCCCGTTACGCTGCCTACTAAAGGGGGGAGGGTGAGGGTTGAGAGGTCCGACCAAAGTAGCCTTCGGTATAGATCTATGATCTACTGTTTTCGTAGTAGGCATCGAGTGAAAGGTAACGAACCGCTCGAAATAGTCGGATCAGCTACGGACTAGGCGCTCTAGACCCTATATGCCGATTTCGTTTTTGCCATGATATTGAAGGTATTTCTGGTATGGTTTCTATGCCGAAGAGGCACCTACATAGCTAGCTAGCATCTCAGCAACGGGCTCAATCAGGCTGATAGAATCAGTCCACCCACTCTCCCATCCTGACCGTCTAACTGCCGATCCAGCAAATAAGGTGAATCAAGAAAAGCTTTCTCTTTACCGTTCTTTCATTCCTTTTTCTAACTTTTTTTTTCCAAAACCACACAAGTACCGAAGAACGCCATATCTGTCGCGCCACAACGAGAAATAGCAAAGGAGAGAAAGGACATCAGATCAAAGATATAAAAAGAAGTATGTAAGAGAGGGCCAGACAGGCAAATGACAGTCCATTGATAAACAAGAAATCTCCGGCTTGGGGGGGGAAGGAAGGGTGGCTGGACCCCCCCTCCCCTCACCCATGGACCCCAGTATGAACCTGAGAGGAGTTCTTTTCATCTTTCGAGAAAGCGCACACGAACACAAGGGTATCAATGAGAAAGGCATGGCCCACTTCGATTTTCCCCATGGCAGTTGTCAGACAAAAATGCTCAAACCTACTGCATCCCTTTCATTTAAGCATTTTTATGATCAAAATCCTGAGAGAAAAGAGCCACGACTTCTTTTTGACCTCCCCCGGACGCCGAGATTTAGGTGAGCATGTCACGTGGAAGGTACATGGCGAGATAAAGAAGCTTGTTCAGCTCAGCAGGACGAGAATGACGGAGTCACCACGCAGGAACCTGGACGAGTCAAACTGTTAGTAACGATACGAGGTGAAGTAGGGCGAAGGGTCTTGTCGGCGACTCCTGGGGAAAAGCGCGAGGACATACATCTTGCTGATGAACCGGTCCTTGTTGACACCCTTGCCCTTGCCGCCCTTAGGCTTCTCCGTCCACATCTCCTTGACGTTCTCGAGGACCATGTTGCAGTGGCGGTCGAAGGCCTTGACGCGCGCCAGCAGCTTGCGATTGTTCCGGCACGAGATCAGCACCTGGGTGTGTGTGCGCGTGGCGGTCTGGAGGAGCGAGAGGGGGCCCGCGGTGAGCTCGTGTTCCTCGACGAGAGAGACCTCATATTCACTGGATGGAGGGTTTGAGTTAGTGTGATGCGGATGGGGGTGGCGGAGCGTAGACAATGTAGGTAGTGATGGGACATGGTGATGACGAAAGTAAGGATGGAGATAGGCGCGGGGTAGGGACAATGCCCAATGAGTGGCAGCAGCATTCAAGTGGCATCATCTTGTCGCCGACACCAGAGCGTCGGGGCTCGGTGGTCGTCATCATGTGACGACGCGGATTTGAGAGGGTCCCAGGGCATTCGAAGATGATTCAAGGTGCTGGGTTGAATAGGGTGATAGGGTACGAAGGGAACAAACGTACGTGAGCTCGCTCTTGGGCTTGTTGAGCAGGTCCCTGTTGGATTGGAAAATAAAGTGGTTAGCCTGAGGTCCGACCAGTTGCGCGGTTGCGGTTCATTTCATTTCATATTATGGAAGGATGAGATGAGCCAGAGCTGACTCATCTGGATAGGAAGATAGGAAGAACCAGAGAGGGGTAGACGTACTGGATCTTAGGATCGGTCGACATGGTGGGTGGTGGTGGTGGTGGGATGGGGTGGGAAAAGGTATAAGTATCAGGGAGTTGGCAGCTTCTCTCGACTGACGGGCTTCTCTCGAACTTCCAACTCTCAGTGTCTCTTCAGGTTAAACTGGGTTAGACTGGGATTGCTCCTGGAGCCCGCTGAGTTCCGCCGCAGCTTCCAAGTTCGGTCAATTTACGTCACGTGAAACGCGTGTTTGCCGTGTTTGTCCGCTAGTGATTCCCGAGGTCGCGATTGGCTGCGTCACGTCGCGTCGGACAGACACGCTTCTAGACGTGAGGGCGGATCGTCCAAGCTTCAAACCACCCACTTCCACTTCGTCCCTCCACTTCATTCAAATGCAAGGCGTTCTGCTCTTCTTCCCCTGCTTTCCACACACACTTCCACCCTCTCTCTCCTTCTCCCTTTCCAACCTCACTTCCCCTTCAACCTATCTCAGCAGATTAACTAGCTGTTGAAGAGGAAGCAGAGGAGAGAGAAGAAAAAAAAATAAACCAAGGGGTTTCGGTGTCCTGCAAAAACTCTCCTTTTCGAGCTTTTCACCTTCCATCCCATGCCTCGAGATTTAACGGCCTCCCCTCCTTTGACGATTCAGTGTCCCGCGTTAGCATTCCTTCAGGGCCTTCCCCGCGACCTGCCGTGCATACATTCCAGTGCATTCTCCCGGTCGACGCACTCGCCTATCGGACGGTTCTGAGTGGTCAATCCCACACGATCAATCTTCCTTGCTTCCAACTTCGACACCGACCATTGAAGCTCGTTCTCTCGAGTGTCAATTCGTTCAACTCGACCTTCGTTTCTACTAGACTCGGTGCCGCCTACAACAATCTCGTTCTCGCCAACCATTCATTCAGACCAACTCCTGGTTTCCTGTTTCTGCTTATGGTCAATCCGCTAGCACTGGTGGCATGGAATCCCAGGACGGAATTTCCGTCCGGCCTATGAGGCGTAAGTCTATTCCTTCAATTGCTGCCCTTCAATTGCTGCCCGACCCCTCACAATCACGAACTCACCAAAATCACCCTTTCTAGTGAAGGTGCTCTATACGTTTGACGAGTCCAGCAAGACCAATTGCTTGGCCCGGTGGCCCCATCTCCTCGACATCCAGACCGCCGCCCTCGACGAGAAGCTGCAGATCGGTGTCATTGAGCTGAAAACATGCATCCAGGCTATTGTTTCGGCAAGGTGAGTGCTAAGGATGGAGCTGGATACCTGGTCTTTGTACTCATTTTCATCGTCACAGCCCGGAACTGGTTGCCAAGCTTGGACAGGACTACACCGTGTACGCCTACGATTACTCCGAGTATGAAACGCCTCTGGTCGGACAGGGAATGCTGTCGTGGGTGCTTGCGTCGGCTTCTCCCACCCCCAACGCCCCCGCCCATCAGTCGAAGACAATGGTTACCGGTCGAGTGTGCAAGAACGTTCTGGGTCTATTCTCCAAGGGTGCTCAGGAGACATTGGAGGTGAAATTGCGATTGGTGCCGGTCCCCACCGTCCTGCAGAGCGATTATCTCGAGAGCATGCAGAAGTACCGGGAATTGAGCAACGTCATTCCTCACGAGTTCGACGCCCAGGCTTGGACGAGTTTTGTGCGGCAAAACCCGGGTTTGGTGTCTCCCCGCGAGCAGCAGCCGGGCCCCATAGCATCACCGGTGGATCACGCCGGAATTGAGAGGTTCCACCAATTGCTCAGCGAAGGGTCGACGCCAAGGGAGCTACCCTCAATGGCTGGAAATGCGTCGATACGCTCGGCTTCCCCCGCGCAATCGGCGCTCGGCCCCGTGAGCAGAATCCCCACCCCCGCGCAGCAACAGGAGCATACACAACAGCTTCAGCACCAGCAAGACCGTCTACACAACGATGCCATCCGGCCAGGCTCCAGCGCTTCGATGCGTGACTCGGATCTCCCCACTCACTCGAGATACGCCCCCAGTCGTCGAGGCTCCATTCAATCAGGCTACGGCAGCGGCGACGAGTCTTCGGAACAACAACCCCGCAAACGGGCCAAACTTTATCGGGCAGAGTGGCCTGGAAAGTCCGACTTGAATATTGAGAGACAACCCAGCTCTCTGCGGGTCGCCGCCAGCACCGCAGCCTCTGTCCGCATTCATCGCCCTACTCCGGTCAACCCCGCTATTGCTGCTGCTCAGAACTCGAATGAGGAGCCTGTTCGCCCGCCTACCCCAATCTCTAACTCGCATGAAATTACTCGTCGCGCACGTCCTCCTCCCAGCTTGCTCCGCGAGTCATCCCTTCACACTCCCTACACCTCTCCGTATCCCATGAGCGATGATCACCCCGCCGGCGATAACCAGTCCCCTGAGTCGCGTTACCAGGGCCTCTTCGAGCCTTCGTTCAGTATGCCGTCGTCGCCTCCCGTTCTCGACTGCGGGTTCCCAGGCCGCTCCAGCCCGGTCCTTCCGCCCATGGCCGACTCGGGCTTCATGAGTGGTGGTATGGATGAGCTGCTGGATGAAGAAATCGGCACCCCTCTGGACGATTCAACTGGCGCAGGCAGAGAGAAGCGGATTGTCCGTCCTGCTGCACATGCCAGCTCGCCGATCACTGCGCCCACCAACATGGAGAACTTCCCAGCCAGCGACGCTCCGGACCAAACTGGGAAAGAAAGAACATCCGCTCCAATCCGCGCACCAGCCAGCAACGCCGGCTCGAGGCCATCTTCTCGGGCTAGCATGAGACAGGCTCCCAAGCCACTTGCACCTGCACCCATGTCGCAGAGCGAACTCGAGCAGCTGATCAGTACCATTCCCGCCAGCGATCCAATCCTTCCTTCTCATGTCAACACGCACAGCTCCCAGGCCTGGACCGGACCGATGAGCGACTACAATGGTGCTGAGACCCCGGCCCCGCAGCCTGTACTCGAGGATGGCAGAATCCGCAGCGGCACGGGCGCTCGCCGGTTGCGGCAGGTTCAGGCACGCCTCGATCGGTGCATTCGCGACGGTCAGGTCCCACCTTACTGCGAAAACTGTGGTGCCATTGAAACCCCCACCTGGCGCAGAGCGTGGTCGAAAGAGTTCGAAGGCAACGAAGACGACGCTAATAAACTCACGGAGGATCCCACCATGTTGTTTTGGCAGGCTGTTGAACGTGACGATCAAGAGAAGGTCATCAAATTCAAGGTCTACAAGAAGAGCCTAGCCGACACCGACAACGACTTCGTTCAGGTCCTTCTTTGCAACCGTAAGTAATACCTGCTCCCCTTCTGCCTCGTCTGTACTAACATTCAGGAAAGCCTGTGGTCTTTGGCTCCACAAGTTCAAGTGCATGCGCCCGGAAAATAAATGGAACAAGACCGCCAGCAACAAGAGAAAGCGTCCCCCAAGAAACCGCAAGGGAGGCGGCCCGCTCTCGACCAACAACAACAACCCTGCAACGAGACACCGTGCCAGGGCCGAGTCCTCCAAAGCGGACGAATCGTCTCCTGGGGCGTCCGATGCCTCTTCTCCCGCGGTGGACGATGCCACTCCCCGTGGTGATAATGACAGCAACGAGGCTGAGAACAACAACGAGCAGGATCGTGACGGAGCCCAGGAGCAGCCCGCCAAGCGGCGCCGTGCCAACAGCCTGGAGCCGCGCAAGTCGAACGACACAGCGGCCAGTCGCTGGCAGGAGCAAGACCCGGTGGCTGCTCTCCGCAACGCGATTCAGTCTAGCCCTGCGAGAAACGTGGTGGGGCGCAATGCTCCGGCGGCGGACGAGAATGCTCTTACTCCCAAGTCAGTGAGAAGAGTGCTTTTTCCTAACTCCCACAATGAAAGTGGACCGTTGAGAGCACTGGGTGACTCAAGCGTCAACAGCCCACGCCGCAGCCCCCGCAGTTCTCGGGCGGCCGAAAAGCCGGCTGACGACAAAGAGAACCAGACTGCGACTAATCTGGACGCACTCTTTGAGAGCCCGAGTTTCGGATTCGACGTGCCCGCGAGCCCGACCCCTCGGCGACGCAATCAGCGATCGGGTCTGTTGAGCGAGAAGCGCCTTTCCCTGCCGTGCATCTCCCCTCTAGCGAAGGCACGGAGAGGAGTCACTGCGGATACGTCCCCTACCAGACTCACTGCGCAAAGACTTCAGCGGATCCAGAGCAGCCCTGGCCCCATGCCGCGTCAGCACAAGACCCCGAAGCAGGCTCGATCGACGCTGAGTGACCTCCAGCTGCCTGTCAACGCTTTCGGCGGTTTTGAGGGGATGGACAACATGATCGTTGACATCTTCTCCGACGCGCCTTCGGCCGCAGCCACGGACGCACTGTTCGGAATCGACAAGTGTGCTGCGGGCAACAGCTGGCCTGACTGGATTCCGTCCGATTATGTTTCTCCCACTGGATCTGAGGGCGAGGCGGCCAACGAAGACTCGGGGGCGAGTGGGGACGATCCGCGGGATCTGCTCAACGCGCTCATGGCTGACCCGGAGCTCCAGAAGGCCAACCAGTTTGATATCTTCAATTATGTCGAAACGAACGTGCTCGATTCCGGATTCTTCAGCTCTGACGCCATCAATCCTGAGACAGTGCCGGCACTGGGTGTCAAAGCCAAGGCTGCGGAGTCCGGCACTGGGCACGAGGCGCAGCCGAATGCCAATGATGTGTAATGATTTTCTTTACTTTATTTGACGAGACGCGCGACATTCGTTCGAATTCCTTTTTGTGATGTGTTTAGCGATGGCGTTCGGTGGATGCATATGATCGAGTGCATTGTTTGGCTTTGTTTTGTGGGTTTGTTCCTGAACGGATCCTTGTTTTGTATTTGCTATTCAATGGGAGGGATGGGAGGATTGGGATAGGATAGAATAGGATTAAGATACCACAGTAGATACCAGGTTTCGGCCACAACAATGAAATAATCAATTGAGCCTTCTACTTATCGGCGTGTAGAATTGGATGTGCTTGTCTAGCTTGATTGACTTCTTGGTCTGTACTCCGTAGATCTCACGTCCGACCCGACCAGGCTTACAACTACTCTCTGTCCTTCAAGGTTCAACCCCGAACAGACGATTAACACCATTTTATTTATTGGAACAACAAATATTGGAACAACAAGAACAACAACATGCACTCTCCCTCCAATCCTCCGACCGCAACAGGGGTATATCACTCAACCTCAACCTCAACCTCAACCTCATCACCACCTCTCCACCTCACTTCACTCATTCGAATCATAGAAAATCGACTTCAGCTTATGCGTGGCGTTGACCACCTGCTCATAGATCTTGTAATCTACAACCGATCAGCCCACGCCAGCCCTTCGCCCAGCACTGCAGGAGCAGGGGGCGAGAAACCTACCACAATCCGCCGGATCCCCCAGATCCGTCACGCCGAGCAATCGGATCCCAACGCCCTACACCAGAGACAATTTGTCAGCATCGTCCACCTCAGTTCCAGGGGCCATGGCCTCAGCCCCTAGGGGCCAGAAAACAACGCACCCCCTCATTCAAATCCGTCACCTTCCCAATCACCTCAACCAATTTCCCCAGCTGCAGATGCGAGTCGGGCTTCAGGATGATCGTGACGTCCCCCGAGCCGCCGCAGGTGAGGGTGGCGGTGTCGCCGCGCAGGGCGGAGACGGTGCCCAGGATGCGGACGGTGTGTTTGCTGGTGGTCGAGGAGGAGGGGTGGAAGGCGTGCAGGTGGGCGGGGAGGACGCGGGGGGTTTGGAGGGACATCTTTTCAGGGTTCGGTAGATGATGGAGTAGAGGGGGGGGTTGGAGGTGTTGTATTGTATGTATCGGAGGGAGGGTGATGTGAGGTGTAATAGATGATGTGTTGGACTGGGGTGAGGTTATAGTTGGTTGGTTTTGGTTGGTGGTGGTTAGTGATGGAGTGATGGACTTATCGCCGTCGCGCCGCGCGTGACGCGAAGGCACGTGATCTACCACCGCCGCCGCTCGGAAAGAAAACCTGGTTCGGCTTGGGGTAACTTGTGGCTGCTGCCTCGGTGCCTTAGGATGTAAGGCTACTGCCGGCGCTGCACCTGGAAAAGCAGCTTTCCCGGGTAAAGTTAACTTAAGTTACTGGCTGGGCTTGACACTCCACTACTTACCTATACTCCAGCTTCGCATTACAGGATCCCTTATTTACCAGCGGCTACACCTCCTCCAACCCCAATCACAGGATCAGCCACCCACACCACACACTACACACCACACACCCAGAAGACCCAAGGCCCAAGGCCCAAGCTGAAGGCAAACATGCCACCCCCCCTCCCCTCCCACCACCGCGGCATGACCGCCAACCCCCAACGACCGAGCCGCTACCGCCCCGGCAAGCCGATCGCCGAAGAGCCTTCGTCCGACGACGAGGACGAGGAAGAAGATGAGGAGGAACAGCGTCAAAAAGAGCAGGAAGAGCGCCGTCGTCGCGAGGAGCAGCGCCGGAGGGCGGCGGCGTTGGCTAAACCCCCACCCAAGGCTAGTTCTTTTCCCGCTGGGGCGGCTGGGGTGAAGGGGGTGAGGTTTGAGGAAGCGGAAGCTGAGGAGGATGAGGAGGGGTTTGTTACGGAGGAGGAGGAGGAGGATGCAGAAAGGAAAGTGGGGGGCTCTGTTGCTGGCGATGGAGCTAGAGCTGGGGTTTCGAGTTCTACTACTGGTTCTGGTTCTGTTTCTGTTTCGAGAGGGGGTGTTGCGAAGGGGGCGCAGGTGGAGGAAGAATCAGAGGAGGAGGAATCAGAATCAGAATCCGAAGAGGAAAGTTCGTCAGAAGAAGAAACCCCGCGCCGAGTCCTCCTGCGGCCGACGTTCATCAAAAAGAACCAGCGCACCGCCAACGCCGCCGCCACTCCCGAAACCCAAACCCGACCCGACCATCACGCCGACTCGGCCGCGGACGCGGAGGCCCGCCGCGCCCAGCGGCAGGAGAAAGCGGACGCGCTGGTGCGCGAGCAACTCGAGAAGGAGGCGATCGCGCGCAGCGCCGCGAACCGGGCGTGGGACGACGACGAGCTGGAGGTCGCGGAGGAGGAGGCGATCGACGACACGGACGGCAAGGACCCGGCGGCCGAGTACGCGGCGTGGAAGCTGCGCGAGCTGAGGCGCGTGAAGCGCGAGCGCGAGGCGATCGAGGCCGCTGAGAAGGAGCGCGAGGAGATCGAGCGGCGTCGCGAGCTGACGGCCGAGGAGCGCGAGCGCGAGGACCGCGCCTTCCTGGCCCGCCAGAAGCAGGAGAAGGAGGCCGCGCGCGGCCAGGCCGGCTACCTGCAGCGCTACTTCCACAAGGGCGCCTTCTTCCGCGACGACGTCGAGCGCGAGGGGCTCGACCAGCGCAATGCCATGGGCGCCCGCTTCGTCGACGACGTCGCCCGCGAGACCCTGCCCGAGTACATGCAGATCCGCGATATGACGAAGCTGGGCAAGAAAGGCCGCACCCGGTACAAGGATCTGCGGTCGGAGGACACGGGTCGTTTTGGCGATGGGGTCAGCAGCCGGTTTGGCGGCGGGCAGCGGAGGAGGGAGGATGCGCCGCTCGGGGTTACTGATGAGAGGTTCATGCCGGACGAGCGGCCCAGGGGTCCCACGGGCGCCAATGCCTCGGTCGTGCGCGAGAGGCGGCGATCCAGGTCGAGGTCTTACTCTCCTCGCAGAGACCGCTATGGGGACCGGAGAGAGCGGCGACGGAGCCGCGATCGCTCGGCAGACCGCTACAGGCCGGATGGAGGCAGTCGCAGGAAGCGCAGTCCCTCGCCCTACAACGATCGGGAGAAACGGAGACGAACAGAGGATGCGAGATCGGACTAGCCGGAGGTTCGGCTTGCAATGAACATGGTATTTCTAATTTTATTGGCGTTCTTGGGTATCTGAGAGCACGGATTGGGGGAGGGGGCTTTGCATGTGGGAAATCGACGTTTCTTTCCCCTCTTGTATTATATAAGGTTCCTCAGCATGGCGGCACGTATCATACCTCGACGGGGTGCACAACCAAGTGAAGGACATTTTACTGGATGTACACTCGGTGCACCTCGTCATTGCCTCGCCTAAGGAGCATCACGCCGCAACACCGACGGCTACATCTAGATCAAATCCGCTTCTAGCATATCACACAGCCCAGCCATCAATACCAGAGCGTAGACGTGAACCCGATATGCCCCAAAATCCCCACCACTGCAACAACATCCGCATCCCAGCAAGTAGTCCATAAGCTGTGAGCCATCATCGATCAACCGTACAGGCCCCACTCACTGGCTGCCCCCTTCTGCAGAAACGCAAACTATTTCACACCCGCCCGCTCCAAGACCTTCTCCCGCTCCATCACGCTCTCCCCAAACCGCAGCAGGAATATCGTCCGACTGGGCCACATCTCCGTGGGCTGGTTGTGGGCGGTGACCTTGGCCTCGAAGCCGCAGCCGTCGCAGACGCCCTCGATGATGCCGGCGACGAAGGCGGCGCAGTTGAGCATGCTCATCTCCTTGGGCACGCTGATGTAGGTGTTGACCAGCGGGTCGTTGTCGGTGATCATGTACTCGTTGGGGGTCTCGGGGGAGACGGAGTGCTCGAGGGCGTCGGCGGGGCGGGTGAACAGCAGCCGCCACAGGGGCCCGTGGATGAGGTGCAACAGGGGCAGGATGCGGAGCGGCCGGTTGGGCGGCGAGGCCGAGGTGGAGGAGCTGCTCGACAGCGCCGACGAGGAGCTCGACCCGGACACCGTGCGGTAGAAGAGGAGGTCCAGCAGCCGGAGGCCGAGCGGGTAGCCCTGTTCGTTGAGTCTGTCTCCCCGCATCAAATCAGCGTGTGCGTCTGAGGGGGGATGTTCCTCGCCGTATGTATGTGTGTAGTGTCTCTATGCATATACCTGACACCAAGACGGCGGGGACAGGGGAAGTGCGACGCAACTCACCGTCTCTCCAGATCCTGGATCCCCGTGACCCGGCGCTGAGCGTAGGTGACCATCTCGCCGAACAGGAAGGCGAAGCTCGCCCGGCTGAGTTCCGCATTCCGGCTGCGGTTGAGATGGCGGTCGTAGATGGTTTTCCGGTTGGAGGGGACGCGCAGGCCCGTGCTGGATTGCGAGGGCGTCGGCAGGTGTGTGTGGGTTTGGGATTGGAGCGGTCGTTCGGTGCTGGTCGTCGTCGTGGAGGAGAAATTGGAGGTGCTGTTGCTATTGCTCAGGGAGAGCATGGCGGCGTGGCGCGGGGGTTGTTGGGCCATTGTAATTGTGTCTTTGTGTGGTGTTGTCTGTGGATTGTCGGAGAGGAGGGGACTAAGGTGGCAGGGTGGTTTGTTCGGTTCATGCGGGAAAGGGATTATTATCGACAGGCTGGGGGTCTCTGTCGAGAGGATCGGGTTCAATGTCTCATGCTGGTGGTGTATTGGTCGTTTGGAGGTGTGGGTTTTGGAGGGTGTATGGGTGTGAGTGGTTTGGTGATTGTGATTGTGCTTGTGCTTGTGCTTGTGCTTGGAATGGATGGAGTGGCCTTACGGGGAGGTGCAGATGCTCGGGACGCAGTTCGGGGGATAGCTTCATCCAGTCGGCTGGCTTCGCAGCTCCGGAGATGGCCTCCAGAGCATGAAAACCTCTCATTCCGGGGTCACTGCTTGCTTACTATTTGAAGCCCGACGCAGCCACAGCCATTACGAGACAAGAGCCAAACTACAAATTACAATCTACAATCTACAGCAATGAGAATCGATCCAAAAAATCTTTCAGATGAATATACAGAATTTTCATTGATTTCTCTTCTCCGATGAATGACACCGTCGGAGACTGCGAAAACTAAACTGGAACCTAAAACTGCAGAGCAAATTAGCATATGCTCGTGAAAATGGCACATGAGATAATTCAATATCCAATATGACCAAACAAGTCAGACATCCAAGGAAGTATTGCGCACAGAGCACGTCTATATGATGGGTTCATGGCGACGGCTAGCGTGGAAACTGCGAATGTAGGAAAAGTTTTCATCATAAGAGCCCGGGGGAAAGGGCCGTTGGTCATGAAGCAGATAGAAAAAAAAAGGAATAGTGGTAGCTTACCATTGAGTCAGTCGCATCATTCATTGACTTGCGCAGTGGAAACAGGTCAAGAATGATGCAGAATCCGAACATTCGAATACCCTCCAGCTGTTGCATGTTCCAAGTGAAATCACATAAAATTCCCAAGGAATGCAGTGGGTGGCATGGTGTGTGTCACGCTCAACAGGAAGATGTTGAGGATGTTGAGGTGCATGAAGAAGAAAAAGATTTTCGGGGCGGGAAGGGGGCTTTTATAGTCAGCCTCACAGCCTTAGGCTGCCCCGGTAACCCTTCCGACCCATACACTAGATAGACGAGAGAAAAAAAACTTCACCGCAGCACTCCACAGCCCAGGAAAAAGAACGTTCGAGTCGTTTACCATTATTCATAGAAATTCTACCGACCGGCTTTTTGTTGTCATGAACATGAGATAATGATCTAGGACCGATAGGATTTGTCTATACAGTGTCCTTTTCGAGTTTCTTCCATATGTATCGTAGCGGAACGCCCCACAAAAGTAAAATCCCATATGTTGTCGAGTACTCCGTACGTAGTAAATAATCTTTGTTCATGCGTTCAGCGCTGGATTTCTGGGTTAAGCCTCACGGCCGCTGCTTATTTACCACCCTTCTCTTCATGTGGTGGGTCCAGCGATTTCTGCCTCTGTCTCGAGTTCCAATTTAATGTCTTCGAGATCGTGTGCACCCAGTCATCACCTCGTCGGCCCTTGGGCAGGACATTGGCAAATGGGTACCGTGATGCCGATACGGTCACGTAGTCTCCTGGATGTAATTCAATCCTATATTCAAAAGTTAGTCGGTGGGCCCGGTAGCCGTCGCACTCGCCTGCAGGACACACCTTTCTCTGCCATCGAAACTGGCCCACGAACTAGCTCTGGCATCGTACGGCACGCCCATACGAAGGACGATGGTATCTGGTAGTATAATAGGTCGAAACGATAGTGTGTGCGCGCAGATTGCGGTCACCAGTATGACCGGGTTATCCGGGTGCGATAGAGAGCCCCCCGCTGCGAGGTTGTACGCAGTTGACCCGGTGGGCGTAGCTATACAGACGCCATCGGCAAGGAGGGTGGTGAAGTGCTCGTCGTCGCCAAACAGCTCAATCGAGGACATTGCTAGCCAACAGCCCCGTCAGCAGGTGATCACGGTAGTAGCCATCAGAATCGCATTGGAACATACTCGCATTGGGCCCCCTATCCAGGACAACATCGTTCAATATTTGCAAGACCTTGTCCGGCCTATGGGTCAGCGTATCCTCGGCCTCCTCCCCGATCAACTCTTCCACAAGATCCCGCTTCCTGGCGTTCGCCGGCGAGCCGTCCGGTAGCGGGTTACTGCGCATGATCGTGCATTCGAATCGCAGCCGCAGGTTGACCACGACGCCCTCCTTGAAGGCGGTGGTCAGGGTGTTCTGGTAGTCGTTGAAGTCGAACTTGGTCAGGAAGCCCAACGACCCCAGCGAGAAGGACAGCACGGGGGGCACGACGTGCTGGAACAGCCAGCTGGTGAAGAGCACCGTGCCGTCGCCGCCCAGCGTGATGACGAAGTCGAACAGGTGCGCGCGCTCCGCGGCCAGGTCGTGGTCCCAGTACTTGAGGCGATGCCTCGCCGAGGGCTCGTCGTGGAGCAGCTGCGCCGCGCCGAACTCCGGGTCCGACTCCAGGCGCTTCTCCACGTAGACGGTGTACGGCGTGTCGCGCTCCCGGGACAGGAGCCAGCGGGCGACCTCCCGCGTCGAGCCGATGACCGACTGGTCGCCGGCCTTGGTCACCAGGAACACGGTCTTGACCGTGAGCCGGAGCTTGACGCTGTCCAGCTTCTTCGACAGCTTGCGCACGTTCCACGCCATGTCCGAGAGCTGCTTCTTGGTCAGGTGGCGCGACTGCATCATGGCCTTCTCGGCCACCGTCATGTCGTTCTCGCTGTCGTCCTCGTCGGCGGTCGCGCCCTCCTCGTTCAACGCCTCGTTGTCCTTGGCCGTGTAGCCCTTGACCTCCTTGATCCGGTTGGTCGGGTCCCCCCATTCGCCCGCGATCAGGGAATGGACGAAGCATGCCGTGGTTTCATCTGGGAACGAGAGGTTGGGGCGGGTGTTGGGGTCGTCCGCCATGACCAGTGACGACTTGCGGCGATGGCTGGACTCGGGGTATAGTACAACCTGGCATTTTTGATCACATGCAGTCAGCTCTATTCGCTCCATTGCTTTATGTTGGTTGAGATGGGAGGAAACAATACCTCCAGCTGATTCGGGTCGTCCATCTCGCCATCTACCCCTCCATCCTGCATTCAAATCAGTTCCCCTGTGGCGTGTCCAGCAATTGAAGAACGTACAGCACCACCTTGCTTCGGACTTAGATCCATCGACGCGGTTCAAAAGGCCTTTTCGTGAGACTCAAACGGCCTGTTGGGTGTTTGAGACTGGAGGGCCTGTCAATATTGGGAATCGACTGATGTCGAAGTCGAGGGTCGCGATCGGAATCGGAGTAGCTGCGGGTTATGACGTCGTTGCACCGTTCCGGCAAACTTGACTACTACGCGACCGAAACATGGTTTATGCTGGGTAGTCGTGGTTATTGTGGTGATGAACTGTAGTCTAGCGCTATGTAGGGTATCTGTGATGGACTCGGGGAAGACATGGATGTTTGTTGGAGTGTCTTGGTGTGTTCATGCCAACCCTCTGAGTCCGTGCTGAGCATTTCTCTGGTTGAACGATATATATTTTCTGACACCGGGTAGCTCCGCACCGGGTTGGGGTATGTGCATCGATTGTCCTACACCAACAATCAATGTTCAACCACAACTTGAACCTTCCAAATTACAAGCTCGAATACCAATTACACAATCAAATCCTCAGCATCTACACATCAACCATGACCCCGGCTACAAGCATTATCACTAGAAAGTGTAACTATGAATGGCACACCCGGGCAATTCTCAATGTATCCTTGTAGGATACATGGCCAAGGACCAACAAACAAGCCAACCATTCTACATAGTACATAGTACTCGTACAAAAGGCCTCAAAACACAACCCGAGAAAACAAACAAACCTCCCCTTTATTTACCCCAGCAGGACCCTGCAGCATAAGGGCCATTAAGCCTCCGAAATCTTCAAAGCTCAACCCAGCAAGCTTTGCCGGCATCTCACGTTACACATCAGAAAGCGCGCGCGAGAGAGAGGGAGACCTTGCTCCCTCCTACTGCGTGACCAGGCGAGATAGCAGAGTACACAATCACAACTACAGCGCCACTTACCCATGAACCGGGGGTATGTACCTGGGGTTGACTGGCTGGCCGAAGCAACTGTTTACCAGTGGTCAAGATAATCGCATACTCATCGGCAGCTGGATGGGGGAACCAACGAACGTGGTGCGAACCGCCCGTTATAATTAGAACACGAGGCTATCGTCGATAGGATTTCGGCATTTACACACACACATACACATACACCCATATACACCTACGCATACACGTATATAGTAACATGGATAACAAAAAAATAAAACTGGCCACGTAATGCCAGAGACGCGCATACTGTCTCACGTTGGTGGGGAATCGATTGCTCCGCTCTCCGAAGGGGGGACAGACGGACAGACTACAGAGTTTATGGGGATGCCTAAAAAGAAGTCCGTTCGGTGGTTTCTCGAACACAGGCGGGAAATCGGAGACGAAAGGGCAAGGCAGGCGGGCGGGCAGTGCTGGATCCAAGATGGATAGAGGGAGAGAGAAAATGGAATCCGGTTGTTGGTTAACAATCAAAGGTGGATATGTATGTATGTCCCCCCATGGGAAAAGGAGGAGATGGATGGAAGGATGCGAAGATAGGAAGAAGTTGCCACTTGAACCACATGGTGATCAATGCAGTCCGTTCACAGCATGGGTCCACTCTTCCCCTCCCTTTCCTTTCATTGTATCTTTCGGATGACGGTCGATAACCATCTGCATTATTCTCAGATACTGAGTTCTTGACGTATAGGGTAAGTTGCTTGAGTACTCCGTACTCCGTACAGTTGTTAGGCAGTGCCTGAGTTGTGTCATCATCCGTATCACCATGGGATCTGCAGGGAGCCGAACGGATTCCAGCCACAGCCTGACACCGAGACAAGACATGAAAAATGGAAATTGATTGATCGATCGTTTGTTGCAACGTCTTCCTTCCCCCCCCCAATGCACCTACTCCGTAACTACACTGTAAGCCATTAGATTCAAGCACACGGCACATGGCCTAGTCCAGAACAACCCACCGAGCGTTGCCCGGGGCTCCCTCGGGGGCTCTCAGGAATGAGCTGGAACCTGGGAAGTCGTCATGAGAAGAACACTGTACCAACAAGAAACGAGCTACGAACATCCTTGAGCCTTTCTGCCTATAGGATAACTTAGGGGAGGTTCAATAAACTCCCTCAACAGACTAAGGTTCAAGATCTAGCCCTGGGCGGAGCGGTCCAAAGCCACGGTCAGCCACTCCTCCTTTTTACTCATACTATAGACAGACTTCATCTCTCAATCCAATGTTGGAAAAAGGAAGAAAAAAAAAAGAACAAATTCAAAAACAATTTACCGAAGTGAAAAGAGAATAGTGTTGGAGCGATCATCACCACCGACAACGTGCCATGTTGCCAGCCACCGAATAATCCGGGATCCACTGCCCTAAAATAATCACTATGACTAGACTAAGTTTACTTCAATTGCTTTACTTTGGCTCTGCGGCTTTGCTGCTTTTGCTTGAGACTCCCGCGGCTCCCGTGTGATTTCATTTGCCCCTCATCCGTTTAGTTACACTTTACAGATGAGAGAGAGATGGAGGATTACCAGGGTGTTGACCTTTAATCTACCAACTTATCGAACCGACAAGACCTTAGCAAAACTTGTTTTTTTCTTCTTCTGATCCTCCCACTCTTTACAGCCGGATCCGTCCATGGGGACAAAACACAAGGACCAGGATTAAATCAGGGAGTGAGGAGGTGATGAATCCTCGTCGGTCCCTCTCTCGGACGTGTCTCGTTCCATGTTTCTTTTCTTTTAGGCTGGGACCGCCAGTCGCTTGCTTGATGATCGTTTCTCCCCGACCCCAGAAGCGGCGGCAGCGAAACGATCATTCAATCAATCAATCAGCAAGAGTCCCAGACGAGTGGACCACTTGTTGGAAGCGGGACGCATAGTCAGCCATGTGGCTTTCCGAACTCCAGTCCAGTCGCCGATGGAATACGGTTGCCCATACGATGATGGACTGCTTCGAAAGATCCTCCAGACCCAGTCAGTCGACTGGCCTGTCCTAGATTGGAAGAAGGAGACGACCGGCACACCAGAGGGAAAAGGAGAGAAGTAGTAAAAATTCGGTTAAAGCCTCGAAAAACACAGCCCACGCCAAAGGTTAATCCGAGTCGAAGTGGAGGTGAATGAGTGACATGGACCTCGGAGGTGGAACAGACTGCGTGCGGTGTGAGCAAAAGGCCTGCCAGAGACGCGAGAGCGAGTCTGAAACCCAAGACTTGAGAAAGTCTCCAATGCAGCGCATGACTCCGGGCCGGACTAAGCGTAGAGAGAGAGAAAGGATTGAGAGACATCTATCGCCAAACACTTTACCGCTTCCGGTAGGGCTATTGGGCTTTACCGCCAGACCAAGTGTCCCTCTGGTTGTTGACGAGCGAGCCGACTATCCGTACAAGGTAACCATCCAAAGCCCCTCCCCGAACTAGCCTGAGATACAGATCCCATGGCAAGACTGGCTGGCTTGGTGATAAAGTGGGCTTGCCCCTCCCCAGTTTGACAAGATGGTGGTGGATGGGCTGGCGCATTATTTGCTCAATGGAACACACTAGGCTGGTCCACCACAACGGTCAGACATCTTACCTACAAATAGACAGTCACTATTGGTCGTTAGTCGCTCAGAGGAAGTGGAGCATGATCATAGAGTCCATGCTATCGAACCCCGTTGTATGCCGATGGAGAATAAATTCTCGCAAATGAGGGTCCGAGAGTCTGGGTGATGGGCGCTGACGGGGAGGAAATGGGGGTGATGGGGGAGGCAAAATTCAGGCGAAAAAGGAAATTAAACCTCAGCTAATTCCCCCCTCGTTCTGCGGTGTACGGGAGTACAGGAGCTTAGTAGAACGCAAAAATTTCGCTGCGGCAAACGGGGAACGAGACGCAGCAGAGTAAGTTCGATTCCCCACTTCGATCTGCCGTGACAATGCAGCCAGGATCTTAAGCAGCAAAATGAACAAGAAACAACAACAAGAATAATAATGCAGTGCTAGTGAAGGAATGGTCTCCTGTTCCAGTTTCCCTGTGACTTTTGTTGCCTGTTTGGGTAATACATTGGTGGGACCGCGGCGACTATCATTGACTGTAGTCGGGTCACGGTGCGTCGGGTCTGGTGCGATTTACGGCCGATCCTTAAATAGTGATCTGTCAATGTGGATGTGTTTTCCACTTGGATGCGTTTCTCTTTTTTTTCTTTTTGCCTCTTTTGTTTCTGCGCCCGTCCCCAATTCGCGGTTGCCCTGCAATGGCAGTCACGTCGCTAGCATCGTGTTCTCTGGATCCGCTGAAAATCAAAAGATGGGTTTCATTCCCACCCAGTGGTCTAGTCGCGGCTTTGGGACGGCTGATTAGATCCGGCTTGCTGCCAGAGGAACCTGGGAGTGGAGTGAAACAACCAGGCGCCCTCCTATCCCTAGACCACTTTGGGGGGATTGTTCGCGTAAGCATCCGCGGAGACATTTTCATGGCAAGTGTGACGACGTTGATACATCAGGAAGAGGAGGTGACCGTAGTGCAGTGGTGAAAGTGATGATGATGATGATGATGATGGTGACTGGAGAGGCAAATAGGCTGGAGCAACCGCCCCTAGTTAAGGCAATGTGCACCGGTTCAAGGCTGTTCCTGGGTTAGTTGTATACCAAGTGATCTATTAGTACGGAGTCGGCTCTAACTCAATCCTCAGCCGGTCAGGTGGTCTCCCCTTGTCCGCATCAATTTATGCATGCCTGACACAGTCACACACTGAAGAGTGAAATGATGGCCTGACAGCCATTCCACCCCGGCCCCTCCATACATATACTGCACCCATTTTTGGTACCTTAGACGACATCCTTTTTTATCAAGGTGAGGCCGAATCCGAATAGATCCTGGCAGCCACTACCTTACCTTACCTTCTGGGGAACCAGGTACTGCACCTGGTAGGGTTCCAGACTCCCCGGTAGTATGGAACATTCATTGGCTGCACCTTACTGGCCCGATGACATGTAGGACAAAGCTACACCTAAGCACTGACCACATTCTGTGTTACCTCGAGTCCTGGGGACCCTGCTTGGCTAGATCTGAACAATGCAATAATGATAACTACTAGGTAATCAACAGCAAGAATGCTGCAGCCATCATGGCGCCGACCTATGTAGCAATGATGGTCAGGCGTCCAGTGTGAGAACGTACAGGACATATATTACATTCAGGCCACTGTCGATCGCATCTATCCTTGACCATACATTACCCACCTTTGATTATGTGGTTGCATCGTCTGAAGATAAAGGGGCTCTCCTCTTGGTGAGACAAGGGAGGGTTTGACCTTTCTGGTCTTTTCCGGAGGATCGCAGTCAGCCTGCCATCGGGCATAATCCTACTACTTCCCTCCCTCTCCGTGAACATAATTCGCTGAGCGGAAAACACCGGAAACACCTTATTTCGGTCCCCGTACATGCATGCATGCATGGACTATGTATGTATGCCATTTGACTCATGGCAACCTGCAGATAACAACTGCCCTTTCATAGTATGCTTTCCCATCTGTAACTCATGAAGATACCGTTGAACGCGGATAGTCAATTCTTGTTTGTCTTGTCGGGAGGGGGGCTGATGGTACTTTGGTGGCTCTGAACGACATCCAGCTTATAGTGTATATGCTGGTTCATATGACTCGTGCAGAAGTCCGAAGTCCGAGCAGCGGCGCCAGACAGCCCTGGACTCTCCTGGTGTACTGCACCTTATCGCTGAGGGCGTTCTCTCTAGTGCAGACTTACTTGAGTGGTGCATTGGGACCCCCTACGTAATCAGACAGAGCCAGGCTGTTGATTGAGAGCCAGTGGTGCGTATATGCCGATTTCAGACATCGTGGCGTTGGCCATGGCTTGCGGTCGGCTACTGTTTCTCAATTCAGGACGAAGGGCTTTGTCTCAGTGCTGGCATAAAACCTTTTCAAGCCGAAGGCAGCAACAACAGGGTTGTAGAAGCCAGTGGGCTGTGTCATTGAGGAGATGGAGAGGATTGGATTAGCTTCGAGCACTAGTACGATCAAAATCCATCACGAGAGCAAGCAAAGTAATGGACGGTGCAGCTTGCTGTGGTGTCACGATCGCCCCAACCACAACGCTGCAGTCATTGATCTGAGCTCGAGCTGCAGCCCCATGCAGGAGCCTCTTGTTCTCCTTCGTTTGGCAAGGCAAGGGAGCGGCAGAGAGGCTTGAATGCCGACTGAACCTGGTAATAGCAACCAGTAAGCTCGCCTACCGTGCTGGCATCGTAAATGGTGTATCAGATATACAGCGAAGCCTTCCGTGCCACGCAGATGGGCAAGTTTGATTGACGCTGAATGTGTATTTCGCTTATCCTGCGGAAGGGCGCTCGGGCCTGATACGAAGCCACTATACTATACGGAGCAATTAATGACTAGTGCTACTATGGAATATAGTACGTAGCAGCAATAAACAACTGAAAGCGCGAACAACCGAGGCGACGAAGCTAAGACATTTTATCTCACTCTTGTGACTCGTGGTGAGAGGCGTGATTGAAGACGACAAAAGACCCGCCAAACTGCGATCTTCGTCTCCTCCTTACGGTACAGGTCAGTCAGTAGTTGGTCGTTGGTCGATCCTGCCAAGGTTACTCCATACAGCATTTAGTTCTGTTTCCCGGGCGGCGACCGCTACTTTGCTGGTTTCTGAATCGAGCCGAGTACATGAATCAGGGCCTGCGTCGGTCGGATTATGGAGAAGCTAGGGCACCGTGCAGATCGATCAATTGTTGATTGTTTGGGTAATGTCCAATCCCAGTGTTTGTTTCAGGAGTAGAGTCTTGAGACCAGTAGCACAGCAGCATGCCTTCTGATCGAATTATCCGAGGGTCGATATTTCGGGCGACCATCCCCATATCTCCATAGCTCATCCACTGATAATGATAACCGCCATTTGATTGAGAGCAGCGTCACAGGGCTCGGATCTCGACAAAGGAAAGGTCAACTATACAGGAGATCGATAAAGATTGGCATAGCACTCTTCTCCACAGTTGGATTTCGTCTGCGTCTTAACCCAATCATGATGCATACGGTAGCAGCAACATCCGCATTGATGGCGATATACGGTACCTTCCACCGTCAAGAATGATCCGCCCCCTTGGCTGCTTGAAACCTAAGCACTACCGGTAAGTTGCCCAGTACTATGAGTATTTCTCAGTAAGCGCCAAAAGCATAGACAATCAACGCCAACGCAGGGCTGTAATTGTTGCGCCCGATCTTTAGTCTCCAGACTGCGCTGGGCTGTTTGCGATAGCGGAGTAGCGGGGCTTCTGTCGGTAATGATCAGCATGGTCGATGAAGTACTCTTTGAGTACAGTACAACACGCCAATCTCGAGTAACTTGTCATACACTTTTCACGAGATGCATAGAGTATACCACAGGTCTTGCGCTGAGGTGAGCTGACCTGATGAACTCCCCTGCTTGTACTCCGTACACCTCTAATATCAAGTACGGAATGCGGAATGCTGGACAGAAAACTGGCTAGAAACGCTATGGTGTACGGTGGTACACAGTACTGGTGTATACGTACGTATACCCCAAAGCAATAGTGACAGCCAAGGGATCCTCTACTGCAGTGAGAGTCCCGAGTTAGTACTGATACATGGCCCCGGGCCTCCAGTCTACCTCAGTCTAGGCTGGATCACGTTGGCTATCTGACTAATTCCCATCCGTTTTCAGCCAACTCATTAACACGGCGGGAAAGGAAAAAAAAAGGCAGCTAAGTCAGCTGAGAAAGTCTTAGGAAACCCCGGCCGACTGCCGCGGTGAGGATGGAGATTCGGAGACAGGCGAGAGAGAGATCCACTTGCACTAAAATGGCCTCATTTCCTCAACCTCGGCCATTTTTTCCCCTTCCTTCCCTTTTAATCCATTACTGTGGGAATTTCCCTTTTTTGCCCCTCTAAGCCCCATCCGAGAGAAAACAAAGCTGACCCCTGACCTTCTGGAATCTTGTTCGTCTCTTTTTCTTCCCTCTTTGCACCGTCCGTCCCCTGCAGTCGAGTGGGCCCTGCACATGCGTTCCGATGGCCCCTCCCTGTAATCTCCGGCCTCTGATTTGTAGTCAGAGCCAGGCGATGATCTCAATTGTCCGATCACTTGCGTTCAATCATCAATGATATGATGTAGTCTACTCCGTAGTCTAGATTACAACCGCCCAACCCGTCGCACGGAGGTTTTTTTTTCTTTGGTCTGAATATCATTCTGGGGCCCTTTTCATTCGGCCGTTTGCTTCTTTCTACCTTAGTTCCAGCCCAGGTGAAGTGACTAAACCCCAACAGCGCCTCTCTCCCCGGGGAGCTGGGCTGAGGACATGGGTTCGGAACAGGGACAGGTTCCAACCACAGCACACAGCTTGTGCTTCATTCACCCAGCCCTTGTAAGTCAGTTGAAGGTCAATGATGTGGTTTCACCAGGCTGATCACCGGTCACGAAAATGCGGAATGCTCGCTCTTGATTACTAGCGGGAAGGTCTGTTACCCATTACCCTTTGGCCCGCTGCACGCAGGGTTAGGCACTTTTGCTTTTGAAGACCAATTTTCCAGGCAGAGAGGGTCGAAAGCGGAAGACAAAAACGGGGTGACTGGGCAAAAAGAAAAAAAGAAAAAAAAAAAAAAAGAAAAAAGAGAGAAAAAATTAAAATGTCCCTTAAAAAAAAGGCCCAAATCGGCTACCAGCACAAGGAGCCTGCCAGGTGCTGAGAAAGAACCTTCAAGTTCAGCCTTCAAGTTCCTGTACCTGGGCTCTGGACGGGGGTTCCTCCCGGGCTCTAAACTGGAAGTGGTAAAGCTCCGTGAAAAATCCGTCCCAGTCCGGTATCAACCCTTGTTCTGGAAATGGTCTCCATCGGCTCATCCTCCCCATGAGGTGTAAGCACTACATTGCCAGAAGCCCTCTACAAACGGTATCCGTATTTATAGAGTAGTACAGTAGGTACTGTACAACTAAGTCAATGGGACAATCCTCCGCCGCCCGCCCCCTTTGTTCAATGTGCATATCAAGTGCAAACTAACTAGACCATCGCTCATCGGTTGAACATTGGACCCAAACGGTAAACCCATTATTACTACCGGTATGAATTACATAGCGTGGCAGTCATTTGCACGGAGACTTCACTGCGGGGCGTTGCAGCCGCGGAAACTCGTCATAACGGATGGGATGGGCGGCACCCGTACTCAGACAATAACTAATGAACAGCTAAGCTATGATTTAGTTTTAGTGGCAGTCTGTCCGTCTGACTGGTCACAAAGCCCTATAACTGATTCCCTTTACTCTAAATCTCATCATCACCACCACCACCATATTGCATTTCATTTTCGCAGGGGTGAAGGGGAGGGAGGGGAGAGTGGATTAAGCAATTCCTTTGAAGTTATGCCAGGATGTTGTCATTCTCCTTGATTGCCGAAGTTCCCGCTCTGCTCTCTCTCTAGGTAACTTAACGCTTTTTTTTGGGGCCCCGCCGCCCTTCAAATGAATCCCCTCTTTCAGTACTCCGTAGGGTGACTTACTGTGTCTCTCTCCCTCTCCTGTCATTCTTTCGGTGAAGGTATTTTGAGTTCCCCCCCCCCCTTCAACCCAATCAAAACAAATTAGTCGGCAGGCCGGGGCCGGATTTACTTGCTTATGTTTCTTTGTTTCTTATTTTTCTGGCGCGTAAGTACAACCGCCGATCGAAGCCCACACTCGTACATTTCGGCATGAGATTTGGGGATGGCTTCTGGATGATACATGTGATCTGATCTGCAACTCGACAATGTTGAGTTGCAGTACTCCGTACGGGACACAAACCTCATTCATCGATGGATAATTGGAAGTTATACATATACCAACAGTATGTACTCCGTAAAAACCGAATTCAAACGGTAGGTGGGCTGGCTCTCTCTTGTCCCTGTTCCTGTGGAGAATGTCATGAAATGATAAGGCACCGCCCCCGATTCTTTGGTTCCTTGGCATCGCATCTTGGTTTTGCGTTATCGGGTTTGCTTGTTTCGATGAAAAACTGGTGACTTGTTCGTATATCGTGTATACTCTGTAGTGAAATATAACGTTATTCGACCCGTGACGAAATAAGAGAGACAGAAACTCATCCATCCGCCTGCCCCCCGCCTGGTTCCCCCTAAAATAGCTTGGTTGTGTTTAGGCCCCAACTAGTGGGGGGGGGGGGGGTGGTGACATCCGGGTTGGAATCTCTGCTGAAGTGCGTTATGTAAGATGGTTCTGGAGTTGGTGATAGTTGTGATCAACTGCAGTGGGTAAAGTCGTCGACGGAAATGTATACTCGTAGACGTTGATCTGATGATCCAGGCTATCATCTACCGAGATGGCAGATTCGGTTGGACAGGAATAGTTGCAACACCTACATGGCAAACTACGTAAAAACCTAAAAGTCTCGCCCCTCCCCGGATGGATGGAGTCAATGTGCAGTGCGCGTCCGGTGATGCCGATGACAAGGCCAACAAACGGAACGGAACGGTCGGGGGGGAGGGTAAATGGGTTTTACATTTGGGTTTTGTGCACGTCCAGTCAGGTAGTACTTGATCGTGTTGCGGACTGAACCAAGGCAGTGAGACTGCCGTAGGTAGGTGGGTGTTGCTGCTTGCTTGCCTGCTTGGGGATTGTATGAGCAAGTGCCGAGTACAGTCATTAGTCCAAGGCTCGGTTACGGGTGTTTCTGGATCCAGGCAGTTATTGTAACCCTTGCGTAACGGGCGTTGTGACGCGTTGGAAACGGTGAACTTGTGGGGACTAAAAACGAGACGGCAAGTCAAAAGGGAGGTTACTTGCGAGTATTGACAAGAAATGCACGAGAGGGAAGGGGTCAGCAAAGAGGGAGGGGAAAACAAGGAGCATGTGTAAGTTATTGAGAAGTAATCAATGTAATACAAATGGTGGAGTTTAGTGCTGGATGAGAAACCACCGAAGGTTCGCTCGAGTCTCGCTCGACAGAGACAGAGTTGCAGAGTTTGGGGCACGGGGTTAGATAACTAGACTAGTACTCCATAGTCACAGAGACGTCGTGACCAAAAAAGGTGTTGGCCTGTTGGCCCGCCACAGGGTTTATTAGTGATTGATGATGATGATGATAATGATGCTGATGATCGGGTCGGATCGTGGGTCATTCGCCGCTAAGGTTGCCAACTTGAGGCATCCCTTCTTCAACGGGTGACTAAGACATTGATTGACCTTCAATTCCTGCTCCCCCGGCGCCTGGAGTGGTTGGATGGTCGAACCGTCCTACGCACTGACAGTCTGACTTGGAAAGGGAGGCTTGAGTACTCCGTACAGGAGATAGGTGTTAGCTTGTCGTGGTCCCTGCTAGGCAGACAGTCAATATGAGCCAATGCAGGCCCGAGACTGGCCCTCCTCTATCTATCCCTGGTTGTAAGCCGAGATTGCAGCTGAGCTGAGCATCCGTTCGGCACTGCACGGGGGACATGATGATGTTGTTGATGAGGGGAAGGGCGCGAAGTGAGTAAGAAAGGGCATGTCATCAAGGATCGCTGGGGTGCGTAATTATCTACCGTATCCCAGTCTGTACTGGAGATTACACGGCAGTACTACCTCATACTAGCTACAGCAGTAGCAGCAGCAACACATTCTGTGACGAGCCAATGCATTTCTTCGGGGTTTGGGCAGTCTCTGCCGATGTAACAGATCGCATGAATGATTCCTACTGTCTGAGCATCCAATCCTCGCTTCCAATACCGGACAAAAGAGGAGTAAAGGAGGAGGAGGCAACGATGCAGGCTACTGATGATCCATTACTCGTAAGTCGCAAGTATACGGAGTACCCATTAGTGTATGTATGGTAAGGTAATTGCGTACAGGACTCATCTACGAGTAAGTAATGTGGCTTGCTCAATTTAGCCCCAGACTGACTGCTTGAGTCTCGGGCTTGCCTTTCTCTCTCTCTCCTCTCTCTCTCCCAAGTTTAGTTTGGTTTAGTTTCGGCATGTCCCAGACCCACCGCGCAGACTTTCTCTCCGTATCTGCTCCGTGGTAGGCCCCAGTTTCTGGTTCCTTCTTTAACTTCCATCCCGGCCATCATCTTTGCTTTGCTGCTGCTGTTGCTGCTTGCTGGTGGCTTGGCTTGGGACTGGCTAGAGTCTTTCCCCCGATTCCAGTTTCCTATCCAATGAAGATCATCTGTCCGTGCCCCGGTCTCTCATTCCCTCTTCTGTTTCTGTTTTTCTTTTTTATAATCTGGTTTAATTTATTTTCTCTTGGTTTTCCCCCATTCTTCCATGGTGGACGGACTGCACTGCACCTCCATGACTGACCTACCAGTAAGCTACACTTAGGTTAGCTATACTGCACTCAATCATTCACTTTACTACCGACCGGCCAATGGGTCTGATCATCCCCACTATCAACATTGAGTACGTTCCCCCACTTAGATAGTACGGAGTACGCTACACGCTACCACCATCATCATCCATCGTCACCCTCATTCTACGAGTACCCATGGGTCCGTAGTTCCAAAGTCTGTTTTGCTTTTTTTTTTTTTTTTTTTTTTTTTTTTTTGTGAATTATTATTATTTTCTCTTTGCCTCCGAGTCAAGACAGGTGGGTGAAGTGGATCTCGACATCGTGTGGCATGGGCTCATCTGAATTCAGTCACCACCAGGCTGGATCCCTTCCTTCGTTCCTTTCTTCCTTCCCTAGCCGTGGTCCATCCTACGACAGTAGACTACGACTACCTCCAGTGCTCCACACATCCCATGTCTTGCCCTGGCCTGTTACTAGTCTGTTTTCGTTAGTGTCAACGTCGTGTCATCCCAGCGCGTGTCTATCCTTTTTTCACATTTTTCACATTTTACACTTTACACTTAGAGTAGTCTAGTCTACCACTTTACACCAGTCGTGGTTAGTAACCCGAATGGATCGTGGAACTGGGGCGGATGGTAGATCAAGAAATGTGCCCATGTAAGTACTTACATACTCACATAGGCTACGTTCCACAGCGCCATGTATCACCCATGCCTAATTCGGGTCTATTAAATTAATTATTATTATCATCATTATTATCATCCGTCACTTTCTTCTGCCTATCGCCTTATACTTCTTGGGATTGTTGCCGAACAATCATCAATCTAAGGGACTGGAACCGGCCTAACCTTAGTACGCACGCACGCACGCACTTGCTTCCCGTACCTTGCCTCAACGCCTTGTGACCCTCACGCCCCCTGTGTCATCTGTGGACGATAAGTCTCGAACCCCAGTCTATCACTTCGGAGATCCTTCTTACTGCTTCCTGCAGTCATCCATGGGTCCTATCCCGTATTTGATACTCATATAAGCGGAGATCCTCTTCTCCCAAGCCCCCCCATCCTGCCTTCCCTATATTTATGAATGTTCATGCCCACTGTCCACCACCTCTTGAAATTCAATCTCAACCTCACCTTCACCCTCTCTCTTGAGCACCACCTCCTCTCAGGACCATACCTATCCTTTTTCCGCTCTACCGCCCACACTTATCCTCAATGGCCAATTGCTGGCAACCTCAAGCTTCATTCGTCGACCCAGCCTGGGCCTCCAACAACCAACCATGCATGCGCTCTTCGACCTTTCGCGACATGATCCATGCCTTCCCTAGGCCAAAGCAGACCGGACGGGTGACCAAGCCCCGGAGTGCCGGCAACAGTCCTGCTTCTGCTGGCAGACGGAGGACTACGACCATGCCTCACAGTTCGACCATGTACCCTGGCTACCAAGCCCCATTCAACCCTGCCGCTTTGGCATCCGCTTTTTCCCGGAGTAGTCGCAACCGTCCGATGAGCTGGCATCCAGTCATGGACTCGTCCACCTTCGCGACGGACCCGTACTTCGCGAATTCGACCACTGTAGACAGCCTGGCCGCCGTGGGCATGTGCCCTCAGCCACTTCCCACCGCCCCCGCTGTTCTCGAAGGCAACGACATGCTGTCCTCGTACGCCAATGGGCTTCCTTTCTTCGCTGGCGAGCAAGATCAATTGCCGCTTTACCAGTCCGCCTTTGTCCAAGAGGATCCCGTCTCCTGGGAGACAAGTAACTCGACGATGCCCGCCATGACCGAGCCCATGTCAGATTGCTGGTCATTCGACATGGCTTCTATGCACAGCAGCATGCCTTCTGCCTACGTCGCTGACTCCACCTATGACGAGAGTGTGTCATCCTCGGGGTGCCTGACAGGCCCGGCCACCCCTCAGTTTCTTCCCATCCAGCGTCCAGATGACGATCTGACCGCCAAGCCCAACTCGGAAGACGAACTCGTTGGCATGGGCCTGTATAGCAGCCCCGAAGCATTGAGCGAGACTTCGCTCCTGGGTCTGTGTGGCAAGGGCTTGAAGTTGGAAGAGACATTCACTCCCTCGGCCAACGATGCGGAGGACAAAGACGAGGACGACGACGAGGACGATGAAGTCGATGATGCCGCCCCTCAAGAGCAGGATGAGGCCGCCTTCCCCAGCTGCGCGGCACCTCACCGTCAGCCCCAACACTCCGTTAGTCAGCAGCCCGTCAAACCCGCTGCGAACATGATGCACAAATCATTCTTCTTCGAGGAGGATGGCTTCGAGCAACATGCGATGGTCGGATCTCAGCCGCTCATCAACATGGCCAGCCAGCCCTGCGTCAGCTATGGCTATGGCTGGATTTGATCTTCAGAAAGCATTCATCCGCCTGTACCATTTTTTATGAATCCTGTATTCGCTATTCAGCATTGCATAGCGTGGAGTTATGTTTTTTTTTTTTTTTTTATTGTTTGGTTTCGGACGGCGTTTTACATGTACCAAATACCCTGGGATGGCTGATTGGAACTATTCCATTCTTTTATGATGACTATATGTATTAGAGAATCCTTGGGTGTTGTAACACCAATGAATGAAGACATCCTCAGGGATGACAAATATGATGAACGATGATGAACGATGATGAACGATGATGAACGATGATGAACGATGATGAACGATGATGAACGATGATGAACGATGATGAAC